CGCTGGCCGCTCTTTGTCCGGTGGCGGCCATGAAGGCCGGCAGCCTCTCCGGCCGGAGCAGAGACGCAGGTGGTCCATCCCCGGCCCCTGCCACCAGCCAGGACATTACCGAGGCAGTGATCGACAACATCCAGCATGATGTAGAGCAGTCGCAAGACATGCCAGAACCAGAGAGCGACACCAAAGAGGCCGAGGGGCTCGGGTTCGGCGAGTTGGCCAAGAACTTGGAGTTCCTGATGCTCAAGGTGGCCCAGCTGGATCTGCGGCGGCACGAAGTCGGAGGAGTGCTTTTGTTTTGGTACGTGTAGGCTTGTAAGAGGGGCCTAGTGAGCAGCGTGGCAGCCAAGGAGACCGCCGTGGAACTCCTGGAGGAGAAGACTAGCAAACAGGAGCGAAACCTTCAGAAGTGCATGGAGGAGAAGAGCGGACCAAAGCCCCCGCCCTCGCTCGTCGAGCTGGAGGCCTTGAAAGAAGAGAGAGCTCAGCGTGCCCAGACGGTCTTAGACACGGTCCTCCGCAAGCACGAGCACCAAAGGGAGACGCGCCATTGGGTCACTCCGGTGTCTTTGGAGCAGCGGGAGCAGGGCTCGTCGGGCATTAACCCGGTGGATGGGATTGCAAGCGCGGTCAATGCTGCAGTGGGCAAAGTCGCAGACGCATTGGAGAGTGCGTGCATCCCCATTCCACCAACACCCCACCTGACCAACGACGAATTCGGACTCAACTTGGGCTCCTGGAAATGCGAGGTCAAGCTCGGAGGTAAAACGATACCCATCATCGACATCAAACTGGGAAGGATTTCGCAGGACTGGCCCCAACATGTCAAGACGGCCATCACCGTCGGCTCCGGGATGAAGAAATGTGCTGCTCAGGTTGCGGCAAGCTCGCCAAGCTCGCTCTACGGTTGCATATCGACCGAAGTCGTGGAGGCTAATCCTGTGTTGTCCATGGCATATGCGCTCTTCAGGGACCTGTGGATATGCAATGGCAAGAAGTGGATGAATCCGCGCGACAACGCGGGGGAGATCTACTCGTGCCTCGGCAACAGCTTGTTCGACAACGTCCCGCAGCTCTCCAAGGCGAAGCCTTTGTTCGACGCCACCCAGGCCTGTGAAGGCGCAAATGCGAACACCATGAAGTGCATCTTCAACAACGTCATGAAGGATGTGCTGGGTTGCACGGATATGAGCTCGGCGCAGTCGGTCGCCATTTGCCTGGGCAACAACATGATCAACTACGTTCCTCCCTTCACCTTCTTCAACAAGATAGGCGACATTATTGGGGACATGATCGAGGGCTTCGCCAGGATCGCGGCAGGCTTGATGAAGCAGGTCCTCAAGAAGGGCCAGGCCTTGATCCAGCAGGCCGTGTCCACCAAGTTCCCCGCCGTCGGAGATGGTCCGATGGTGCGCCACGAATCCTCGAACTTGAGGATCTACACCCACTCTGCACCTCCAAAGAAGCGGGGCATGTCGGCCTTGCAGGAGGAGAAGCCGGGAACCGGCCTCTCGTGGGGCTTCGGCTCAGACAAAAGCCACCAGCAGACCAGGCTGATCACCCAGCGCCTCGGCCGCTCGAGACTTCCCCTAGACCCAGTGCCCTTCGCCCTTCCCAGGCACGCCCTTCGTGCGTGCTCCTCCTGATTTGCGCGAGGTTCCTTGGCCACGAGGTGGACACCAGCTCTTGCCTTGCCTTCGCGCCCAAGAACAAGCACGGCCACAACGGACAGGCCACCCAAACGGATTGGCAGGCGGAGAGGGAGAGGGGGGCTTAAGAAAAGAGGAGGCTCTGGGACGAAGGCTCGGTCTTTGTGTGGTTTTGGTTTCTCTACGCAGGTTCAGAACCCGGACGACTTCGTGCCGCTCGAGCCCTGGGCCGTGCCTTGTGGCAATGCCTGGATGAAGGACAACGCAGACAAGTGGCAGGGCTACTCTTTTTACTCCGCCGAGATGTTTATCGACGAATGTCTCACGATCACGTA